TTAAAAAAAGCAAAAGGCAACTGGTTGCCCTTGGGCTTATGAAGAAGTTACTGAAACTTCAGAAAAAAATGCTAGGTTGAAATTTGCTTCTGTTGACAATAAGCTGATGGTTCAGTATGATGAAGGTGTACTTCAGCCTTCTGGAAGTGAGGAAAGACGTTTGCACTTCTGTGCTCCTGGAGCAGGCCCATTTGTTCTCCCTGGCTGTCAGCCTGCCTGTGCAGTAGTCCATAAGTGTAAAGTATGGACTGAGTAAGAAGAGAGAACAGATGGAGATTTCACATTTAAGGAAGAGGAAATAAGAACACTGCAAAGTGCTGTGGTGTGGACAGGTAGAAATGTGGAGCAGAACAATTAATAATTTGTCCCCATACACACACAGCTATTCATGGTAGCTGAAGAACTAGGAAATGTAGAAATCCTCCTGGTATGCTTATTCACGAAATATTTCTTCATATTTAAGATAATGGTTTAGAGCTCCTTTCATTTATGTTGTATTTATCTTTTTGCATTAGCAAATGACTAGTTTGCCTTTCCCATTTCCCAGTTTGTCATCTTTCAACTATTCTTGGTATGTTATAATGCACATGAACTAAATACAATAAAACCTAAATTATATAGTGCAGAAAATACAAAGGATCTCAAATAGCTTCATATAAAATAATATCTAGCTTCTTTAAAACTGAGCTGCATTTAAGGCTGGAAAAGCCAGCCTTAAAAGATAAGATTTCAATTTTGTCTTAAATGAATTCACTGAATCTGCATTTCTGATGTCAAGTAGAAGTGAATTCCATAGCTCTCATGAATAGCAAGCAAAAGCCCTACAGCTATGAGAATTTAATCTGAATCTTTTATTTTGCATGTCTGGGTTTTTTAAAATATATTTCTTCTCATATGTTCTGAAATCTTTGTGGATTTTTGATCATATGGCTTTGCATGGTTTTTTATACCCCACAATTGTTCTTACGATCCAAATTACTAAATGAAACAGTCTTCTGGAAAATATTGTTAACACTAGAAATAGCTTTGAAATGACAACCATGGTTCTTTGGAGCAGAATATTTTAAGTGGAAAAGTTCCTTGCTTTCTCTTTGTAAAAAACCCAGTCATTCAAGAGGAGCTGGGGTACGTGATGAGTGCCTATGGATGCACTTAGAACTGAGCATCAAGAAAACAAACACAAATGAAAGATCATCCAGGAGCTTTTGGTTCTGAGGCTGATGCTGCAGTCTAATATGTGGGGTCATTGACCCAACGTGCAGTGCTCAGAGATGAAGAGCTGAGAGGAAGAATGATTTTATGGCTGAGGTTCAGAAAATCTACATTAATTCCAGCCTCTTTGGCACTTCCTGTCCTCCACCCCGGTGACCAATATCCAACAGTTCCCTGTCCTCTTTTTGTCTCTCTGATAGGCTTCGCTTACAAACTCTCTGGGGCAATGGAAGGCTCCTTTCTGTGAGTGTAGGGTGGAGCTGAAACTGAGAATTTTCTTCAGAGCTGTTAACATGGCTGCAACAAAATAGGTAAATACAGTGAGAGTGGATGGTGGATAGACTTAAAACACAGATTGATGGCTTTTCCATTGCTGTGGTTCACTTCGCTCCCTCTGGCAGTAATCGATGTGTCATCTTTGAATATGTCTACAATGGCATGAATGCAGAACTTATAACCTATCTAAGGTACCTTCAGACCACCTGTGCTGAGACTACTGCAGCCCCTGAAAGTAGAGTTCATTTAAGAAGTCCAGTGCCAGATCTGCTGAGGTGAACGTGTGCTTTTGTGACTGCCACATTTTTGCTCCCTGAGACAGCCGGTTTGACAGCCCACAAAACTGGGCTAATCCATCCAAAGAGCTGATGGCCCTTATTTAGACAACTTTATCCTTGCACCAGCTGCAGGAGACAAATGCAGTAGCCAACAAGGGGCTAAATTCTTTGAAACATTTCACTTACACTTGTACACGTCCGTCTCCAGCCAGGAGTGCCATCAAAAGGGTCAGATCGCCTCAGTTCTTTGTGTTGTTCTGTCCAGAGGAGAGGCAACAACAACCCTCTTCCCCTCTTCCCCCAGGCCGTGTGCTGGCAGTGCTGGGGGGTTTCAGTGAGGTTGGGGACTGCAGAACAACTGCTCTCTGCAGCACTTGTGCCAGGGACCGGCAGTGATCCAGGCAGGCACCCGTGCCAACTGTAATGCCTTGCAGAGAGGGAATACTGCTCCTGGCAGAGACAGAGTATGTGTTGGGCACATGGTTACAAAAGGGCAGATGCACAGGGCATTTTTCAACCTGGCTGGCTCTTCTAAATTTCCGGCAGCTGTTATTAATATTTGAATTACACTACTAGTGTGCTCCAAGTAGACTCAGCAGACTCTCTCCTCCACCAGTTTCCCCTCTGCAAACTCCCAAGGCATGTGCTTCCTTACTGCCATGTTCATCAGCCTCCCCTAAATTCTGTATGGAGCTGAGAGCATGAGTACCATTTGCTGGGCATGGGTTAGAGCAGGTTGGAGGTTGCTCTTCCATCTGTTGGCAGGAGCCTCCAACTTCCTGCTCCCTCCCCCAGCCCCAAAATAACATCTGTTCTGACGAGCATATCTAGAGCGATGCTACTCTCAGTCCTCACCAAAGAGGACTCCAGCCTGCATGTAAGGAACAAACTAATAAGAAAATATGCTCTGCAAGGCTCAACACTTTCCAATTTTGCTCCTAGGAGGGGAAAGTCCATTTCTGTTTTCTTTGAAGGCCAAGTCTTAGGAAAGGTTATAGTGGAAGAATGGACAGGCATGGTTCTGTGGTTTTGCTGTCAGAAAGCTGAGCTGGCATTCCAGATCACTTACAATATCTGTTGTTTAGTCTGGGTAAAAAGCTACTTGCTGAACTTCTTCCTCTCTTACAGAGTTGCTAATGGTCACCAGAGTCTCCTGGGGTTTCCTAGAAGTTATCCCTTTTTCCCCGGGAGCAGCTCAAGTGATTATAAAACGTTAACAATGTGAGAGGTCCCTTCAGCGTGTTCATAGATATGTGGTATCTCTTGTTCCTTCTCTATTCCTCCCAGCAGAAATAATACTCCCACAGTATATTCACTTTGTGCTTATTCACTTTGTGCTGTTGTGAAATGTCTCTGGTTCACAGGTGCACAATATACACCAGACTGTTTCTGGGATGTTGGAGCTCACACTGCCAAGAGAGATGCAAGTACAGCACAGGCACAGGTTTATCAGGGGTGTTAAAGTGGTTATAAACTTTACCTTCATCCCTTCCTTTTTTCATATCAAAGTTTTATCTGAGTCCATTATAATCATGTTCATCAAACCCTGGGCAGAATATAACATTTACAGAAAGTAACATCCTCTGTTCCCCAATGCCTGAGGCCTGGACTATACCTACATGGGTAAAACATGCCCAGACAAACCTGAATGTCCAGTGCTAAATAGCCAACATTTTCCAGTGTGGGAGAAAAAAGGATCAAGCAATTCATAATCAGTTCCAAATGAGAGTGAGTGGCAGAAAGAGACACATCTCACATCTCTCTCTGTGGGAACACCTGGCTGGAAGCAGGAGTACCTGATACTGCACCTGGGTGGGAAATGGGTTTCCCAGTCTGTAGCAGTTTGTAGAATTTTAGAGATAATGCTTTTGAGATAGGATATAATTGGAAATGGAAAAATCCAAAGTGACTGATCATCTTTTGCTGTATCACTTCAGATTCTTGTTTCAATAATTTTGAAAATACTGACAGTCTATTAGACCAGGAAAGGAAACTTCTTGGCAAACAGGATGTTTGCTAATTTTGGTATTTTGTGTGAGTCAGAGATGTGTGGAGGGAAATATATTGAAACTAACCCTGTCTTGTGAACTCTTTCATATTGCATAACTGACATTTGCCAATAAAAAATGTTACATCATATAGTTTCTGAACACATCCAAAAGAAAAGGCATTAGAAGCTGCTGCAAACAATTTCCCACACAGAATTCAAGGCGTCTGGTCACACTAGATTTTCACAATGGTCACTGTGATGAATGCCTGCTTGCCTCTATGTCTAACTCCAACTAATTGCAAAATAATCATGTTCATTTATGGACTTGAATATTTCCACATCATTTCCTTGATCACAGAACCACACTGTCCCATTTCTTTTTATTTCATGCTTTCAGCTGCTTGGTGAAAACAAGCTGATGGAAAAATCCAACTCTTTGATATGTGAGTACATCATCTAGAAATCCGTAAAAAAAGTTATGCTTCCCTTGATAGCATTTTTCACACCCACATGTATTCAAAACTCTTAAAATTTTCATTTTGGCTTCTGGGAAGTACATTGTAAAGTGAAAATTATGGCCACAAAATTAGAATTGTGGTGTTCAAAAATCTACAAAGTAGTTTGATTTAAATTATCCACAATTGTTTGTTTTTCTTCCTACTAAAAAATAGCGTGTCACAGGTTCTTGGGATTTCCTTTGAGTTATGCTTAAAAGCCTTGCACGTTACTTTTTTACTTATGCACTTTTGAACTGAAGCATTTAATGTTGTAAAATAAGCAGTAAATATATCATAGTTAATTGGAGAGAAAGAAAGATTTTGGGAAAGAATTTGAGCTTCTGTGACAGCTTTAAAGTTACAGTAAGATGTGATTGTATTGTTTCGCTTTCTGAGACTTATGTTTAATTCTAAATGCGTAAAATGAACAAAATATTTTAAGAGTTATGGAAACTTCTGAGACACAAACTAATTGGATCAAACATGTAAGTAATGTGAAGAATGGAAAATTTTGCTTAACTAACCTCTACTGATAGCAGATCATTCAAGGATCTCCCTGATTACAGTGAAAGAAGATGTCGATTTTTTGAATTTTCAGGAAGTTCTTTGTTAAAATCAGCGTGACAGCTGAGAAGTGTCTAAACACAAAGACTTGAGTTGGCATTAAAGAGTCAAGGACATAATTAACTGAAGATTGAATGTCCTTTTTGGATTGATTCTAGTTATTTTTGGGTCCTTTGGCAATAGGTCAATGATGACTCAAGACGTGGAAGACCATGGAGGCTGGACCTCAGTGAAACAAATCTCTGCAGAGAAAAGGATATTCTTTTGCACTGCCCTCAACTATGGCTTGTAGCTCTGTGAAAAATAGACAACATCTTATTCTTCTGGAAGCTTCTAAAGACATTTTAGTGACAGTGCCTCTAGAATAAAAACTTTACTGTTTCCACTTATCCCATATTGTTTTATGTAAATCAGAATGGGGAGAAGAGCTGTGGCATTCTCTAGGTGACAATGAAAGAAAGCATCACTCTGAAACTGCCACACTGATCCCATTTGAAAACACAAAGTGAAACACTACACTGTGTGCAGACAGAACTGTTGAGATGAATTGATATGGGAAAAAATGACTTAACTGGAATCTGACCTGAGTTACAGCTACAAAGGAAGGACTTCATGGATGCTGAGATGAGAAGTCAGGATGGATGCCCAGAGCAGTGGCTGGTTCTGGCAGCTTTTTTGAAGGCACAGGTGTATTGACTGTGGGAAGATAAATGCCCCTGGTGGTCGGTCCCCCTGAACTGCTCTGCCCTGAATGAGCCTGAGGAGCATCACAATGGAGGTGACATGGACATACGTAGATATGCTCTTGTGCAGAGGCTTTTGGAAAAGCCAGATATGGATTTTTTCCCCCCTTTGTTTCTCTCAAGAGTACTGTAAAGTCCTGGTATTTCCTTTTAGTGAAACCTGCCTAGTCATGCAGTGCCCTGCAGATATCTGAGAGGAGAGTCTAAAATGGCTAAAGAGAATGGACAGAGGTGGCCAGTACTTTCCCAACAGTTTCAAGGAAGTTGGCTCATGGCTGTGAGTTTTGATGGCAGCTATAAGGCTCTTCCTCTCTCCTTCTCCAAGATGCTGAAGAGAGGTGATGCTGCAGCCACCAGGTCCTTTATGCCTTTATTTGTTTGCCCCTGTCCCAGTGTCAGGTCTCTCTTTTGTCCCACAAAGTGAAGTCCTAACACAGAAAGTGCTGTGCCCATTAAACAACATTTTCATCCTGTGTATTATCAGGCCATTGGGCAGCTCTTTACTAAATTTTTGTTCCAGTAATAATCCTGGTGTCATAGCACCAAATGATACAGAGGGAGAGTTTTCATGCTCAGACCATATTTTGCTGCCAAGCTTCCCACTCCTGAAGCCATTGTAAAGCCCATGATACAACAGCTATGGGATTAAAGGTCCCTTACTCAAAATGCCTTTGGGACCAGTTTCTGTTGCAGGGGGGTGTATGGTGTGTGTCATAAAAAGCATCTCAAGTCACTGAGGGGTAACAAAACAGAGAGAATGCTACCAGGACTTAAAACTGTCTTAACTTTTCAGCACCAAATGTGGTTTCTTTGTGGAGTTATTTCCAGTAATGACACATGGTGGGTGGTAGGTTGTGTATTCAGCTCTCCAATTAGTTGTCTTTGCATGAGCTCCACTTTTATCAAATTAAATAGAACGAAACTCAAGACAGATGCTACCTGCTGATCAAGATACTGTGGTACATATGCCACGTGATTGCTGTGACAAAACCACAAAGGCTGAAAAATCCAGATTGTGGTTTAGTTACAGATAGAGTTAAAAATGTTATTGATCTAAGTTCCAACATCAAAAAGCTGTTCACTTGTCCTCTCTTACAGAAGTGGTCACAATCTGAAAACATTCAGAGCTGGTTTTAGTACATCTTGCTTCAAAGTCCTTGCAGTTGTTCCAAGGACTCTTTGTTATTAGAATATTCCAGCTTGGCTTAGCCAAACTCATAGTCTTTCTATCATCAATAAATTTGCCGTGAATTAAAAGGAGATATGAAATAGAAACTGTTCTGGACAAATGGCTAGCAGGCAGTGTGACATGAGTTATTCTCTATCTCATAATTTAACATCTCTTTAGGATGCAGCACAGTCGATGTGGTGTGCCCTGTGTCAGCTCCCTGAGCACGTGCACCAGTAATTCTCTTTTCCATGTGGCTTTGTATGTCCATGGAGCTTCTGTGCCCCTCTGCTGCAAGTGTGTAAAGGGGTCACCTGAGCCCACAAAGCTGGGATCCTCTGCCATGGAGGGATCTGAGCTCCTGCCTGTCCCACGCCTAGCACAGTGGTCTAGGTCGTTTCTTCCCTCCTGAATGGATGAAATGCAAGAACAAAATGATTACAGTGTTGCCAGTGGTTGTGAGTTAACTTTACAAATAAATTAATACTATCTGTGTTTCAAATCATGTCCAAACCTTAAAAAAAAAAAAAAAAAAATAGAACCTTCTCTAAAATTTGTTTCAACAAAATGCTTAAAGTGTCCATCTCTTGGTCAGCACAGATTCCCCTTTCCATTGAGTGTACATATGCAAACTGTTTAAAGCACCCCTTATGTCAAGGATATGGAATGGAAAGAAAAGTGTGAAGGCTGTTTTCCCCATATGTTGAGAAAAAAAAAATCTGCAGCAGGCAGTAAAGAATCTGGTAACAGGAAAAGTATGTGAAGCTATGTTATAAGGTAAAAGATGAGACTGTGGCTGTGAAAGCAAACTAAAACAAGAGAAGGAGATAAAACACCCTTTGCTAGATAAAGCAGTAGTACTATAGTGCCATAGTTTGTTGAAGTGTGGTGAGAAGGGAATTTTAAGGGCTTGGGGGCTGGCCCAGCTGGCTTTCCTGATGCTGGTAGTACACAAAGTTTCCTCTCAAATAACCACATAAAGTGTTATTCTGGCCTGGAGAGAACCCAGCCAGTGAAAGGTTAGGAAGTGTGAATTAGGAAAGTGGGAGGTTGCATTACCCTGAGAAGGAACAAGATGTTTGCCACAGTGGGATATACAGCCCCGGGAAGGAATCCCCACTTGGAGCTTCAGCACTGGAGAGCTGTAAATAAATACTTGGAGAATATACTTCATTTGACATTAATAATGTGCTGCCTAAAGTATGTTGGGTGTGCTTTAAATATTACATGTGAATCCCAGGCCTCTCGTAATAATTTTAGAAAATATCCATAATCTTGTCATTTTAACAGCAGAACAAGTTTTCTGGCCTTTTCATCTTTCTTGGTGTATTAGGAGCTGAGAAATGTGGACCTACTCCACATAAAAATTGCATTTGCTGTTGTTACTGCCTTTGCAGCTGTGCAAGTAACAGTCTACTTGATTTCAGACAAGTAAAGTAAATTAAGAGAAGATGAACACTCAAGCACAATAAAGCTGCTATGGAGTCATTACAAGACATAAATATAGAGCAACTCTCAGGTCAAATCCAGGTCTGGCATCGACATTCTCAGCTCCAGCCTTTCCAAAATGTGCCTGAAAACATCAAGGTTAACTTCATCTATCAATCAAAATTTGGATTGATTGGAAAATAGTGTTTGATTTTGGAAAACAACATTAACAGTACAACAGGATCACTGAATCACCAGTGTAAGGTTCTTGTCAACATGACTGCCACTCATTTATTTCATAATTCTAAAGCATCATTACTGTGCATGCGGATGGAAACTACCCAGTTTTGTACAACATGTAGAATGCAAAACAAATCTGATTCACTCTTCTGCTTCCAAATTTGCACTACATTAAAGAATAAGTAGTAAAAGGAATGTATAGGCAGGAAAAACAATTAGGGGAAATTTTTTACCAGGAAGAAATTTGTACACTTGCAGCTTGTGTCACTGGGAGTTTGAAGTATGCTTGGGAGAAAACAATTTGTTCTTTAGATATTAAAAGATACTCAGCCTGTTGCTGTCAACAATACAACATGGACAAGTGACACAATGCCTGCCTGAGCTAAATGGATAGATAAAATACATATGGATTTCCTTTTTGTTCAATTAATCCCATACCTTTGATATTGCTGGACAGTAAAGGTCATGGTGATTGCTGAATCTTTCCGTTGATATTATTAAAGCTGTGTTTAATTAAATTAATCTGGAATATATTAAAAGAACACAGTGCTACTCTCTGACACCAGTCCCTTTCCTTTTAAACTAGGGGCTGACAGAGATTTAATCTGATAAAGAACCACGATGATTATCTTCTTACTTCCTGACTATTCAGTTTATATACAGTTGTACTTACATTTTTTTCCTGTTTGATATGGACAACATGCTGTTTATTTGCCTAGCTCTCCATACTGATAAGTGGATCCACTCAGCACTGTGGCTGCAGAGCAGCATTTCCAACATAGACTGTAATCATCCCATTCCAGTAGTGGTGGGAGGGAGGAAACCTTGGGGAGGGGATTAGGAGAGCGAATTCTCATGTTTGTCCTGCTGCAGTGTGTAACTACAGGCAGGTCACTTCACCTCCATGTCCTCCCTCCCTTTTTATTTGCTTTGACATGCTTTGAAGCAGGGATTGCCTCTTTCCTTGTGAGCCTGTGAAGCCCCTGGTGTGGTTTCCCCCTGATGCTGGCTCTGATCTTGTAAGAGGGGCCTGAGGGCACTGTGCTGATGCTTCTGCTGTGCTCGGTGTCCACGGGGCAAACAGGAGGCTGAACAGGTGAAGCCAAAGGCTCAAACCACGATGGCTCCATTCAGCACCCCCAAGGTTAAACCTCACTGATGGCACAGGAAAATGGAGCCCTTTACAACACAACAGGGACTGGGGAGCTGTGTGAGATGTACCTTCTGCTCCGTTTTGTAATCTCTGGAGTAGGGTGTGCTAATGAGGGGTTGCAGTCCTTTTTACTCCGTTCTGCTTTATCTGCTCAGAGAATAAACAAATATACTGCACACACACACACACACCAACAGCAGAGGAGATTTTGCAGGAAGCTATTCAGTGTGGAAGTCATAAATCACACAAGAAATGAGTGTCACTTCCATGCTCTGTGTTATATGAGGGCTTCCTTAGATAACAAACATTCCTGAAGAGAAGTTAAAAATGGCTTCTTGTGGCCGAGACTGCAAAAATGCAGCAGTTTGTTGTGGAAGAGGGGGCCTCTGGCAGGGCTCCCAAACTGAAATTGTCACCAAAGGCAGGAGAGGGAACATGAAAACGGGAGGAATGGTAATGCAGAGAAGAAGAAAGCTGGAAAGAAAAAAGAAAACCACACAAAACTCGAGCTGTTAATCACATCCCTATGTTGATAAAATATTTATGAGATCTCATTCAATTAATTAGAATAAACTATGTAACACTGCAGGAAACAAATTGAAAATTTAATAAAGTAAGTTCACTTCCAATTTCTTTTGAAGAAAGAAGCTAATTATATTTAGTTCTGTAATTATAACTTTAATTAAAATATAATGCAAAATATTTCATAGTGAATACAGTTCTGTGTTAGAAAATGGAACCTTTTAGGCAACTTGCTTCTCAGACAAAAATTTGTAACAATCCCAAATGAACATTTTATTACACCTGTTTTGAAAATCTTTTCGAGGTAATTTTAATACAAATCCATCATATAAATGCTCATTAGTGTTAGAATTTATGTAAAACATAATGTCTTACCTTCCTGCCTCTATCCAGGAATGTTTCTTACTCTGTGTTAGGGATGTGTGTTTTACTCACTGTATTTAAAGCAGACACATTCCTTATTTATACTTGCCTATTGCAGCCTACAGAACCCAATTTTTATTTAGAGCATAATTTCAAAACACATTGTAAAGTATATCCACACAGCAGCTGCCTTCACCTGAGCAACGGAGAGAAACAGCCTCAGGCAGAGAGATCCAGGCACACACAGGGAAATTTGGGTCTGGCAATATAGAATGAGAACACTGACAAAATGACCTTTCAGTGATGTTTTCAGTGATGATGATTTAATAGCAAGAGAGTCTTCTAGGCTTGT